ACTGAGAATTAGATCCAGATAACTATTTAGTCCTTGATCGCATTGTTAGTCAATGTATATTTAAGCTATTTACAGGTCATATTTGCTAGAGCTTGATGTTTAAACAAGACTATGTCGCTGAAGCATGTAAATGCTATTACAGCTTGTCAACAAACCATCAAAGCTAATTAGTTAATATAGACGACCAGTTTTTATTATCGATTGAGCTAGTTTGTCATGAGGACTAATCAATATAACATTACGATAATGCATGTGAGCATTAATCAGAGGACTATTAGAATACAGGGTTAACATAAATACAAAATAGATCAAGAAATTTAGAATAGAAATAAGATTGACAATAATAGGTTGCGTTTCTCTAGTCGGGCTTACCAATGTAGAATTATGGTCTACCATTATATTAGTACTGCTCTAATAATAGACCTAATCCCAAAATTGTAGATTCGTCATGATATAACTGCCTAATCTATAAGATCTTACGTGGAAGTCACACCATCGACTACACCAACTCACTGTATCGCATCAACTACCAATACATGATGTAGAACAAGGTTAGGCTAGAGAAAGAACAATATATTTAATATGAATAGAAGATATAAGGTAACATTCAGCAGAGACCACGCCTGCATGGCCGAGCAATGCCACTCGATCAACTTCAGTCCATTCAACTCATTGTTCGCGCCTTCTCCATTGTTAGGTATTTATCCGCGTTAAATATTGAATATCTATTTTCTGAGTGGTCTCGTAATCAGCTTTGTGGATTGTGCGGTTATTGTTCGATGCCACTACATATACATAGAGGGATTGTCACACAAACACAAAACATTCGAAACGGATCTTACAATGTGTAACCAACAGTGTTGCACGTCACATCACGACCACAGGACAATCCGCATTCTCGAAAGCGCGTCGACTAGCTCCTGAAAAGCTGAGGTTGACTAAAAACGAATTCGACAATATGATAGATTCGGGAATTATTCGGCCATCTAACAGCCTGTAACGAAAAGAGAACACTGAAAATCACTCCATAGCATTTTGTAGGACTGTACTATCAATTATTTGTTTCTTCTCCCGACCGAGTACTTTAACCCCTATTCAGATCTTTTTTAACCATGCTTTGTGTTCTCCAGTTTCCCTCGTCTGAGCTTTCATTATGTAATTTTGATTAAATATTTACCTTTTGTTACCTGATTTTTCTGTTGCAAGCTGCCGGACTATCGACAATATGGTCGTGTTTGACTAAGCTCAAGGTCATGGAGTGACCCAGTGTGTGACTGTTAATCGCTGACTACTGCTTGGAAGGATTAGCGTAATCATCGCAAATAGATACCTCAACCTATCTTTTTGAGAGCATTCTTTTTGATTCTCAGGTACTGAATTCTTGTGTATTACCTATTCTTTCTTGTTGTCTAGCACGCTAATTTGCGTAAGAGGAACCCAGCATCTGGACCTTGTTTTTGAATGACTTCAAAGACAGCATAATTGTAAACACTCAGAAATATCAAATCGTTGCCGAATATACTATCAATGCTGAACGCATACGATCTCTAGAAAGCAAAGTGGCGGCCATTCTGAATTACCCAGAACCTACCACAATCAAGCGACTACAAACGTTCAGCAGCCTGGTAAGTTTCTATTGACGGTTCATTCCGGATTGCAGATCCCTTATGATACCTTTAACGGGCCAACTTTGTGGACATAAGAAAATCGTCAATTTGAACGTCATCTCAAAACATCATTCTCCACAGTTAGGAAACGTATCGTCAAAGCAATGCTGCTGGCACACTGGGACTCCGAAGCACCCGTTAGTATCGCAATAGACGCGTCTGACTCGGCAATCGGAGGAGTCCTACGCCAATGGGTAAACACCAGCTAACAATCTTTAGCATTCTTCTCGAGATAGTTGCTAGACACAGAATCGAGGTGTAACAATTTCGGTAAGGAACCCTTAGCTTTGTGTTGTTCTGTACGGCACTTTCAGCACTCCATGGAATGCCGACAGTTCACTCTTTTCATCGACTACAAACCTCTTACTTTCCCTATTAGATCACCTTCATACAAGTATTCACCTCGAGAGTTTTGACAAACCGGAAAACATTTCTCAGTTAACTTCAGATATACAACATATTTCTGGGGCAAAAAATGTGGTTTCAGACACCTTGTCTCGTATTACTTCTTTGAAAGGTCTCCAAGGGCTCGACTTCTTTAAACTCGCTCAGCTTCACAAAGAAGACAATGATCTCTAGCACGAATTATCCACAACAACCCTTAAACCGCGCATTCAACATATGGGAACAGGTAAGGAAGATTCACTATGCGCACACCTACAGGTAGAGATTGTCCAATCGTGCCGACACATTATCGACGCAATGCCTTCAATACGTTGCACAAAAGTCCTCATCCAGGTGTTCGTGCAACCATCAAGCTTATAGCAGAACGGTTTTGCTGGCTTGGTATGAATAAAGACGTAAGGGAGTGGGCGCGCTATTATGTAAGTCGCCAGAAATATAAGGTGATTAGGCACAACAAATGCTTCTTAAGCTCTTCCACAACTCCTGATGTCGTTTCGGCCATATTCATCTCGATTCAGCAGGACACTTACCAGATTGAAATGGATATAACAGCTTAAGGTGATTACTAAGAGTCGACCTCAAACAACTAAGTATATGTCAAAACGATGGGACTCAATGAAACTCATTCACTTCCTCATTTTTTATAAACATGATATTTCCTATTATCTTATATTGAATGTGGAAAAGCTTTGCGTGTTTGAACAGTTAAGCCCCGGCTTCACTGTGACTGACACACGATCAAAACAAAGATCTATTTACTACTGGTCTGACTTCTCCCATCAATAGAACGGTTACCTACGGGCACGAAATGGATACTTTTATCTCTTAAATTGTGTAGACCAATTTATTCGGTGGCCAGAAGCGTTACCCATCAAAGACATTACTACTGAGACAGTGGCCTGCGTCTTCGTCGAACGGTGACTGGCAAACTCCGGTCACCCTTCAACTATCACTACAGACCGTTGATGCGAATTCGAATCTGAACTCTTCCGTTGTCTGATCACACTATAAGGAATCATGCTATTACGAACAATCGCCTACCGCTTACAAGAAAACAACTTAAATCTTCACTCTCAGCTAAAAACCTTTAGCAGTGAATCGAAGCTCTTCCACTCGTTTTACTCAGTATTCGCAATGCAGTGAAAGCTGACATTGGATACAAAGCGGTTCAATTCGTTTATGGAATGCCACTTCGACTTCTAGGAGTTCGTGGATCCTTCATCTTCTTCAATGAATATGGACCCAAATTCTTAGACAGGCTGGTTGACGAAAGCCATGCATTAAGTTAAACCTGTTTGGTGAGACTATAATTTATGGACGACCTTTGAGCCAAGCAAGACTGACCTTGAGAGTGTCCTCCTAATATCTATGACCGAATGAGGGTTCTAAACCTATGTGAGCGGTTAGAATTACGTTTTACAGCTGATGATTAACCTTAGGAATTATATTTCGGGTTTTCATCACGAACTGACATAACCTGTAATGCCAAAGCTATTTAGCCTATTATCTTATACCTTATTAGTTCGTCCATAAATAATTGTTTCGCCACCTGTTTCCACTTGACCGTAATCAATCTATATTTTTGTTTTCCCTGTACTACGATATAATACACACGTCTTTGTGCGTCGCGACTCACTTCGGCGAATTCGCGAAACGACATACGTCGCCTTTCAAAGTCCTCCAGCGTGAACTTAAGTACCATATAATCTATAAGAACAGAACTGATGGAAGCATCAGTATCTATCATCTCAAAGACGCGTATTTAGAAGGAAACCATGGTCATGTCGATTTTCCTCCGGTACAGTCGCAAGACATGGATCTCACAATTGCTATACCTCATCCGATGATCAACAATCACTTCGGTGTGTCTAACAACCGACCAAAATAACGCGTTCTGGAAAAAAGTAAGATTGCCAGACAGTACATAACGCTTTGTTTCGTCTCGATCGTTTCTGTATGATAGTGTCAAGAAACAAACTGCTTTTAGTATGTAGATGATCTATGTCGAAAATAATTGGAGGCCTACTCGAGTTAGACGTGAATGGTGTGACAAACTAGCTAACGTCGAAGTCACACCTCGTGGTCAGCACGTTACGTAGACTACCCCATTGACGTATCAAGGTACCATAGATGCTTTGAAGACTGTACAACACAGAGGACGTTAATATAGAAATATATTAGTTAAAGTAGATACAAGCTAAAGTAAGACCGCTGCCGCATATGCCAGTCCATGGCATACGATTAACTGATGCGCGTTGGTTGTCCCTGACCTTGACGAGAATCGATGATTTGCTCGATATTCAATGACCCGACTGCCGGATGGTTTGGCTAGGGCTTAGTGACATTTCGCTGGTCCTATAAGTATGTTCATGTACACAATTTTTTTATTTCAAAAGGGACGGAGACTGTGCTATTGGTTAAGGCGTTGTCAAGCTCCGAATACTTAAGGAACGACCTACCAATGTATCGACTCTTCGTCCCAAAAATATGAGATATAAATTATCTGGCAATTCGCACCATGTCTAAGCATACCATAGCTGAAAAACAAACTAATGACTTGTGCACATTACTGATTTATTATACTTTGTGACCTGTTCAGTAGCGGTTAACATTATGAAACATATTGAAATTATCGGTTATATGAATATTCGATAATGTGGGTAAAGTAATACACAGTCTTGTGGGGTGTTTATTGTACATAAGTGCTTAAAAAAGATATATCAGATAGTTATTATATGAAGTTCAGTGATATGCGTTATAGGGTTTTCTTAGTGCCCATAACAATCAAAGGGCATTTTTATTATAAAACCTGATTTCTCGTTATACAAACCTTCGTAAGATATAAAGGTTATGTAGGCGAAATATTTTCCATCTATTGACAATTATTTGAACTCATACAATGATTGCTTAGTAGCGCGCAATCTTCGAGGCGGCTGTTTTGGGATCCTATGTTCGTAAATTCTGACTTTTGCATATATTCCCAGTTATTCGTGGTATATTCATTCATTCTTCATCTTTATAACGTCTAATGGTAATAAGTATTGTTCTAACACTCGTTATTGTATGTTATCCGACTATTGTGATAGATTCTGCTCATTGGCAATCGTTTTCTATAACAAATTATTGGATTATTCACTCGACTAATATGAAACCACAAGTAATAATTACATTGTTTTTATTATCGAGGTTCGTTAAAAACTACATATGTGACAAGCACAACTTATGTACTGAGTAGGCCTACAGCATCCGTCTTATAGCAGACGATTAACTTCGAGTATTTTTATCCCGACCTGAGTGAATTGATTATAAAAAATCCCAATCTACAACCACCTTACACACATTGGTTTTTTTTCATGAGCTCTTGTGTCTGTCACTAAAACATTGAATTGATGAGTCATTTGTGCTAGAAGTCTCCGCTAATACATTAATACAGATGCAACGCTTTACGAGCTAAGTGCCTCAGTAAAGTTTGGATGTCTGCATATTGATTTTCGTGCTAGTATATAGCCCTTCATGAAAACGACGAAAGTTATGTGTCTCCGTGTATGCGTACGGTGGATCTTCAGTTTGTCCATACCTTGAACTTACTGAATGGTGCTAATTGTTTACTGTTACTTTATCTTGGCTCTACATTATTTTGCACCAGAAAGGACTAGGATTGACGGCATCAACAAATATGTATATCGTCGAATTTGTTGTACTAGATTAATTCAATTTGTGTCCACGCATTATATCTTACAAGCTTTATCTTCTAATTCATTTTCATCTTCATCCCCCTTTACAATTAATGTATTTTACCTTTATAAGTCGTTAACGCCCTTCTGAAACCTTGTGATTATTATTGGTTTATTGTAATTTAAAATCAGTAATCTAATCTCTTATGGGCGAATTAGACGATTTCGAGACTTAGTTATGTGCAGTGGTTTTATCACGTCTTGACCCCACTTAGTTCTCCCTCTAATTCAGTCCGTAGCTGTGCGTGCTTTGGCTGTTTATACGCCAATTTTTAACTGTTTCCAGTTCATGGTGAGCTCATCATTATGCTGGCAAGTCTGACTTTATTTGAAACACTTGAATTTTTATGAAAAGGTTTGGTAACGTTCTTCCAATGGTTATTCTAACACATACTCATAAGGAACTCAAATTCTGCACCGCGGCTACACTATGGTCATTATAATCTAAACCGTAAAAACATTTTAAACCTAAATGATGCTTACAAAATCATAAGTGTAACTGTTTCGTTTTTAAATTTTGAAGCATAGTTGGGAATCTCTAAATTATGTACGGTCTGCTTTTTTCTATTGTTTAGGTGCTGTAATACGGCGTAGTAAAAACGGGATATTCAGAAGTGTTTTACAATCCTAACCTTATCACCATACATTGATTACAACTTAATAACTCGATTAAATAAAAATATTCATTCTTAAATCCAATGCAAGAGTATAAACTTGTTGTTCTGGGAAGTGGGGGTGTCGGAAAAAGTGCATTGACTGTGCAGTTTGTACAAGGAATCTTTGTGGAAAAGTATGATCCAACCATTGAGGATAGCTATAGAAAACAAATCGAGATTGATAACAGGCAGTGTATGTTGGAAATTCTTGACACAGCTGGCACGGTAAGTTTTGTAAAGTTCTACATATGCATTTACTCCATTTAATGGCACACTGCCACAAAACCTCGACAGACGGTATTAAATGCCATCTGAAGGTTGAGAAGCGCAAAATGGTATAGTCATATGATGTCTGATTTTGCATAATAAACCGGTTCAGAGTTCATGTATGATACAACAGTAGAAAAAGAGCCTTGACTTCTGTTGACATGGCGTTGCTTGGTTCTGTTTCCACCTGAAGCGGTTTATCATTTAGTAATTAGTTGTTACCAGGGTAATTTATCAACTGAATTAAGTTACAGGTTCGTAGTTTACATTCTAGACAATTCATGTTAATAGAAATGGCGAACTTGATACTTGTTTCTATAACATTCTAGTCAATCTCGTTTACGGTCGAAGACTTAAAACTAAGGATGTTATTCACCCTGAGGTTCGCTGGGATAATCTGCAATCTACTATCAGAACAGTAGTAATGCTTGTAAGCAATCCACATTAAAAGGTTCGAAAAGATTAACAAATATCAGAAACCTTTTACTAAACCTGTCGATTCTTGGGTACTCATCTTGAAGGAGTCCGAATATCATAATTAGTGAAAGTCAATCACTGACATAAATTCACGTAATGATTGTAAAAAGTGATGGGCGAGAAAAGCAAAAGAGGTGGGAAAAGTAAATATATGTGACTGGTCGCAATCGTTGATCGTCGTAGTTTGTAAGGAAAAGCGAAGTTCTACGACAATCACACATGAAGTACCATTATTACAAATATAGCTCATTCACCAAGTCCAGGCTTATGTGCCTGTTATACGAGATGTGAGGTTCCATAGATATTTCCTGCTTTCCCAAACAGAATTTAATGGATCGGAGTTCGTACCTTGGACCTGTTGGTTGAAAGTCGAGTGCTCTAAGCCCCAATGCACCATACAGTTTGATTATTAACGCATCAAACATATTAGTTTTCATCAGTGTAGGGTTGTGGAGATTGTTATTTTTTGTTGTAATTTGACAATTAAGTAAAGCATTGGAACAGCAAACGTGAAGAACTTAATCACGTTTCCAGATCTGGTTATAAATGCATAGTACAAGTATTCACTTTTCGTCAGGTTTTGAAACATTACTCTTACCAACACCCGACTAACGGTATTTCATTACTTATATAATTAGCATCCATAATCCGTAGCTATCAGTCTACTAGAAGTTTTTCACCCGAAGAATTGTTCATTTTCGAGGTCACAATCTAGTCAACCTGCTGGATTATACTCGTCTCTATCCTTAAAATAGATCTAGGATAGAACATCTTTGGTTTTCTATTGACAGACAAAAGTAGTTTCTTTACGATGTTTGCTTTGTAAGTGTCACACCAATGAAAGCTGAAGCTTGTGGTTCGTGATTTAGACACCAGTCAGGGATTGGTAGTAATAGTAGTAGAACTTAAATTAACAATACAACAATCAAATATTGTCACTAAGCCGTACTTATTGATTAAATGTACAAACTGAGCTGCTGCTATGTTGATTATAGGGATAACTAAATGAAAAATCACACTGAACTTAAACGCTTATCGTTTTGAGTCATTCTGGCCCCGATGTCAACTACCAGTTGATGAAACCTGTAATTCTCATAAGTACACGAACTGTCCAATAAAGATGTGAAAATACTCCTGCGAATTCAGCCGTAATTATCCATGAGGTTTTGATTCTAAGTTTAAGCATCACATTAGATCACCCTAGTTACTACTACTACTATCCAGACCTAGCCCCCTACGATGTTCCCCAAGTTCACAATGATGTGCAAATAATTAGTTGTAACACGATAAGGCAGATGAAAAATTCGGTTTCTGGTGATTTTCAGAAATGTTTCAAACAATAAAAGCTAAGCTGGTAAAACTATGTCTCAACAAATGGAAAGGATGTTTTGCAAGTGATATATATGATTGATGTATTTCAAACTTGTCAAGTTTTATGACCTCAGTCTGTGTATAAATGAACGGACTCGGTTGTATTCTTTAAATCTGCATATAATACCCACGTAGTTCATAACCGGTTAATTATTTTTCAGATAGTTTGACTTTATAAGATGTATTTTTTCGTCCAATAATCAATCGTATGATTTGTTTTTATTACCCTTTTCGAATAATCTGTTTTAACATTGTTTATCAAGGAACAATTCACTGCTATGCGTGATCTGTACATTAAAAATGGTCAAGGCTTTGTTTTATGTTACTCAGTTACATCACAATCCAGTTTTAATGATCTACAAGGTTTGCATGAACAAATTCAACGTGTCAAAGATGTTTCCAATGTCCCACTTATAATTGTAGGAAATAAATGTGATTTAGCAGATGAACGAGTAGTTTGTCGTGAACAGGGTCATGCGCTTAGTCGACAATTAAATTGTTCATTTATGGAAACAAGTGCCAAAGCTAAAATTAATGTGAATGAAGTATGTTTCATTCATTTTTTATATTTAATCATTTTAAAGTATCCAATATGATATACATAAACTGTAGTTGCCAACTTGACAATGGCAGTCGGGTTTGGATATCATTGTGACTCAACCTAATTATATTGGCTAGAACATCCGTTTCTTTAAATACTATCATTCTAGGCTATCGTTGGCATCTGCTGATGCCCTCGACATATAGAAAGCCAAATTGAGAAGGATAATTAACTCTTAGAACACCTACAGCCATTAAATATATAAAATACATAATAATTATGAGTAGTATATCTCTGAGTGTTAAGTAGTTGGAAAAGATTGGCAAGAATCCATCGACCTAGGTTTCATCCTAGTTGGTAATGGTCATCAGGGTGTATCTTCAATCTTGAGAGTAATAATGCCACAACCAGTGAGATTCAGACCTGCACCACTCAGTTTCACATAACCGAAGGAGTTATCATTGAGCTATTCAGGTCACGACTGATATTTTTCAAAACATGTACTTTAATCACACCAGGTTAATGACTTTTGTTATCAATCAACGTAAACATAGTTTGAGAAGTGCTTATTATAATTAGGTTTGAATAAAGCAGAAAGAACGAACGTTGCAGAATAACGTGAATTCATTTGTTTCGTTGTTTCTCTTCAGCTGTTTACAAATTATATGTAGTCGTATTAATTATTTAAAAAAATAAAACGATTTACATATTTTGTATCATAATATTAGAAATTCTCTCGCTAGTGAGGCTTAATAAAAAGTGAAAGATGATAGACAAATTACATGGGATCAATCTTTAAAATCATTAACTAGTTTAAGGTGTGTCGTTAGGTTCAAACTTACTATCAGTTGTATTCTTTACCTCTGTTCTAGATCCTGAGTTGAGCGTCATTTCTAGCTGTTCATTCTTTGATTCCATGTGCTACTTCTTAAATATGGACTCAGAAAAGCCACATTAAGAGGTTCCCTTAGAGTTGAACTAAGTGATGAAAAAGCTAAGGGTAAATTCCAAGAACAATTGAAGTCACATTTAAGTAATTTTCAAAACGAACCTGACCGATATGTTATCTGGAAAGATATACGAACAACCGCGCAAACAGCAGCGACATCTATTAGTGATTTGAACCAAAGGGTTACGAAAAACCAGTTGATTTCTGCGATATCTCTTGGGCTGATAGCCTCTCGTATGACAGACTATCATCTGATTTTGCAACCGCAAGTGGTGTCCGATAAGGCTGTCTATTATCTCCATTTTTCTTCAATTTCATCATAGACCTGCTGCTGGAAATAACGTTCTCATCGTCGGAATTTTCGGGAATCAATCTCCTACCAAGAGGTCCACTTATTGACTTGGAATACGCAGATAACATAGTCCTGTTTAGTGAAGACGCTGATGAAATTCAGTCTTTTGATAACACTGAGCAACAATGCCAGAATGTTTGGGATGCACTTCTCCCTCTCTAAATGCAAGTTGTTGCTCCAGGACTGGCCCGCGTCGACAACTTCACTTATCTTGGAGGTCTGATCAGCCTCAATGGGTCGGTGTCTGACGAAAGCGAGATATCCGTCTATCAATTAAGGGACGAGTATATTGTTCAGCAGTTCGTTCTGTCTTAATTAACGGCTATGAAATGTGGCCATTAAGGGTAGAGGATACTCGTAGGTTACTGGTAGTTGGTCACATGTCTTAAAAATATTACTGGGATCACCGGGTAAGTAATAGTGAAGTCAGATGCAGAGTATTAGGGAATGATGGTAAATCAGTTGATGAGGTTGTGAATCCTCATCGACTGAGATGGTTGGGCCACGTGTTATGTGTGCCTGGACACCGATTATCACGACCCGCAATGCTGACTAGTGTTAGAGACGGTTAGAAGGAAGTTAGGGGCGGCCAAACCAAAACGTGGCATCAGTCCTTGAAGTCACTAACTTCTGGTCTGAGTCATGTTGGTAGATGCAGACTTGCGTGACTATCGTAACCGGTGGTTGGAGACTGTGTGTGACATGACCCAAAATCAATCACACTGATGTTGGTGTATACACTCTTTGTTTTCCCCTAAACCTTGAGATTAAAATTGCTCTATATTCTTTATACGAACTAATTCTTTCTCTTTGTACCATGTCCTAATATGCAATCTTTTTAAAAAATATATTATTGCCATTGAAGTAACTGTTTCTGTGAATTTGATGTTCATCTTATTGTGCTAAGGGAGTGTCGGAACTTGGACCGATGCACATATGTGCTTGGTCCTACGTTGTAGTTGACTGACTGACTTATTAACTATACTTCATACTTTTTACAATTAAATGGAGTATCTAGCGGTAGGGTGTATGAGGTGCGTCTCGTCCTGGTTTGGGACTCGTCAGTTAAGTTTTCATGCATCTTACTGTTGATGTTCACTTTTGAGTTCACGCTCTAGGACCTTTGCGTTACGAATTTATTTGTAAAGAGATCCTAGCATTATTATCATACTCGTTGAACATCTTAATAGCCATCTAACTCTGTGGATGATGTATTGGTGTTTAAAACGGGAGGCCCTGGGTTCGAGTCCCAAATAGGATGAGACGTCCGTTTGTCATTCTACTGTTAGCCACATTCCATCTATTTCAAATAAATTAGTGACATTATAGCTATATCAACGCGGTCCTCACAGGATGCGCAAGTACTAACAAGGATCGATCAAAATTCAGTCCAGAATATCAACTGCAGGATAATACTTTTGCTACTCTCGGTTTTCCTCGTCTACACGAATGGGATGCTAAATCAGGAAACAGTAGTCGTAAATGAATGACTTATGACGGTAATACGAAAGAAGGCACAAATAATATATTGCTACTACATTAGTGACAAGCTTTTCTGAGTTTTATGTGTTCCTTTTTCTTGAATTCAACGTCGTTTGTATAGACTCACTGTAAACATAATACTGGAGCCCATGTGCACCATTGGTTTGGAATGAGGGTTTTCTACCCCCTAGGTGGATTCTCCGTGTCCACTAATTCGGTTAAAGCACCGGACATTGGCTTTTCTTCCTCTCAATTTCGTAAACAACACCCCTGTCACGAGAATGCAGTGAGTAGGACTTCCCTGGCAGAGGCTAATATACGTATGGCCGTGTGAGAGCATTTCGAGAGGGAGAGCTGACTTTCCCTACTCTCGGCCGTACCAGAGCATTTGGGGGCACGCATTCGATAGTCAACATCCTGGTTTTGTATTTACTTGCTATAACTTTGAATTCCTTTTCTCAATCCTGATTGGTTCAGCACGATAATTAATTTTAGTCCTGAGTAGTTTTCTCACTTTAATCTGTTTAATAAATTTGTAAAATATCTCATTAAAATCATTGTTTTAACTTTATCCTATATAATAATTTTTTTTCATTTTTTCTGTAAACAAAAAATGTAGATTTTCTTTGATCTTGTCCGACAAATCAACAAGCAAATGCCACAAGTGAAACAGAAAACATCGAAACGAAAATGTCTAATTCTCTAACTTTGGGTTTTTACTACTTGTTTTCTTTCTCGGTTCTCTTGTCTTATTTTTCGTCTTTATAACAGAACAACTACAATAATAATAATTGGACAAAGAACACTTGATCTCATATGTTGTACGCGTGTGTGTGCGTGTCAGCGGGGGACTGGTATTAAAATCAATCTGTTTCCTGTGTTTCTACTTTGTTCCTGTTTTGATTTTTTGTTTCCCACCTAGCGTAAAATGTATACATGTACATCTCAATATTTTTAGGATTTGTTTATTTATGAGGTATTTGAGAAGCTGTATGCACAGAGTTTTGTCCCTGAAACGCATGTGTTAACTACAAAACAGGAATTATTATGCATTTCATTACCGACACCTATAAAACCACACTCACCTACTCACCATCTATCTATCTACATTTATTTTTGTTATCCTCATATAACTCCCCAGTGCCATTCCTTTTATGTATAAATTGATAGCACAGCAATAATAATGATAACGTGTTTTACCTTTATATGTGAATTTATTTTCATGCTTCCTTTTTTGTATTTGTCCTCCGAAAATGGCTGATTTTATTGTGTGTTTTTAAAAAATAAAACACTCATCTATTGTCTCATTGTTCTCTGTGCATATATAATGTTAATTATATGCATGTGAAACTGAAGAGGACTGGTCTTTCTTATCGTTTACCACTTTGCTGTTGTTGTTATGGTTTTTATCGTCGTGGTCCTTATCTATTTTCGATCTACATAGCTCAAATGTTTGTGTACGTGTGAAAGAGTTCAAGGGGAAGTATATGGAAATATTTGTTTTTCTATCTACTTAATAATAATACTCAGCATTATCAGTCAAATTTATGATGTTTTTTCTTCTCAGTCTGTCGCTAGTGTTATTATCATTATTATGTTAACGTTTCTTTTGCTTTCTTACATATGTTATAACTTTCAGTTATTGGATGACTCGTGACACTTTGTATCGACCTCTCTATCAATAATTTTGACACGGAAGGCTGAATATTGTTAGTATTACTAGTCTGTTTATGCTGAGTTTGTCCACATACCTCTCGTATTTTCACTATTATGAGATGTTGGTGCATTGTTATACTTAATCATCATCTACATACAGATACTTGTCTATCGTTATTCTTCGTTATAAGTAATAAATTGTGATTTATCGATTGTTTTACTGTATTCCTGTTCTCACGTAATTTACTTTAAACAAACAATATATTTATAATTAAACTGTACATCTATATTCATTCTTTGTTTCCCCGTCATCGTGTTGTAATAATTAAGCTGCTTGTGTTTATTGACTTTCTGCATTATTCCAGCCTGTTTATTAAAGTAAAAAAAGCTTTTATCGTTCTTCATCCTTTCTAGTAACCTGTTTTTTTTAACAAAAGAAATTGCGACTAATTACATTATTTAGCGAATTTTTTATTGCTAATATCCTTTAGTATTACTATTACTATCATTATGGATAGTATTAGTATCGTTGGTGTTCCTATCAATGTATTCTTTTCCTAGTTGTATAAGGTTTTCGTTTATCTCTGATATTTGTCTTTTATAAGGAGTAAACTGTACTTTTTCCTATAGTCAATTAATGTTCACCTATTCTCTCGAGGAGTAAAACAATGATGCGCTTGATATTACTGTTATTGTGATTATTATTGGTAGTAGTATGATAGTGATTATTAATATGCTTATTACTATTATTTATGATTATTATTATCATTTAGACCTTCTCTTTGCTTTTCTTCCCTTCCGTTGATTGACGTTGTGTTTTGAATATGAGAGGGGAAAAATATAAACATAATTTGCATTTTGAATTTTACTTATTTGTTGAAAAATATGAGATTTCAGAGTACAAGATATGATGTATTGTCAGATGCATTAGTGCATTGGGTTATTTTACGATCTATTAGGTGTTACCGCATTTACTGAAGAGAAGTTTTATAATCTGTCTGTTATCAGTCATACTCAACTTAAAGCCTGGTACGTATGTACATCGGTTCAAATTAGCATACCCCCATTAGCACAGTGAAATGAAATTTTTTACGGCAAATTCTAGGGTAGTAGCGATACTAACACTATTAATGGTAACAGGACAAATTGAGCATCGGGGATATGATTCGAAAAGAAAGTATCGAATAGTGAATTAACAAAATCTTATAAGGTAATTTCAAAGCTTAAAACCTATGGGGACACAAAGAGTGAGTACACTTGCACCATTGCAAACGATTGTGTCTGTCGTTGTACCTCATGCCATGTGACTGATTGTTGAGGGTGACACAGATGTGTCTTCATAAGGCAATCTGTACAGATAAATAATAGGATATATGGGAGTAATATCGCAGACTTCTGGTGTTACATATCGTGATGCTCCAACCCACCTATAGTGTATGCGACTTTTCTCTCACTATGTACGACAATTCTTGTGTATATATGTTGCTGATCAATATAAATCGGTCAGCCCTAAACTTTAGAAAAATGTCACGGTTGCTATGGCGTCATCAGTCATGGTAGACATCCCACTACTAGGTTCTACCCAAACACCCTAGTAGTAACATCTCAAACTCGACAACTTGGGTTATGATCTCACGGGGAGCACCAAACTTCAAGAATTCAGATCCACCTTATTGGTGAACACCAGTTAGGACGAAACTTAGGTGATTGTCTCCAACCACCAAGTTTCCACATATATACTCATACCGTAAAGCGAAATTGGTGGGATGAAAACTCGACTTTCAAGAATAAGCTTTTATGTGGTCTTAAATTTATTTCTTGACTTTATGCTTCATTTGGTTTGTCCATTCACTTTGTTTAATTGCTTATCTAATTCAACAAGTCATTCCAGTTAAAAGTCTTATCCTACTTGAAATATTACTGGATTAGGGGTTCCTAAAAGCTGCCATCAAATAGTGTTTCTACTCTGAGAAGTTTTTTATGTTTCAGTCCTCTACTCACATCAAACAAGCAGATTTAGTTAGGACTTCAAAAAGTCATTACCAACGTGTTACTATGTCTCAAAAAAAAGAAATGCTCTACATCCTCAATGTAATACCATAGAGATTTTTATAAGTGGAATAAATCAGTGGACAAGTTTTTGAACAATTATCATCTTAGCTAGAGAGGACATTATATATATGTATCACAAAGTCATCATTTCATACTATGTGAATTACTATTTTCAGAGAAAAAGATTAGGTAATTATCGATGGACTGTCATAGATGCCAAAATCCAGTGCTTGCAGTATTCCGTTAATTAACTCTATAGGGTATATTTTTTATTTGGCTAGTGGTGGGATTCAGAGCTTGCGATTCATTCCATTTGGGGTTCGTCAACTGAGTGTACAACTAAAAACTCAAACCGTTATATATATAACTAAGTAATAAAATAGCCATCCTGGATTCAAAACAAACAATAACTGAATTATAAGACCTCTTGTTGATATGTTCATGAGAATAATTTCCACTGTATTTGCTTATTAAGATAGATAACCTTTAGCTCAAGTAGTTGAGCTGTATCAACTGATTTTTCTTGTAGATATTGCTGTAAACAACGAATTTTCATTCGGCATTAAGTGATAGAAAATATTGAAAGAAAAAAACCATAGTACTGATAACTGTTGCTACTCATTAACATGTGGATACTAATGAATATGAAATACTACTTCCTAAAATAGTCTAAATTGTATCATAGCAAGTCAACAAAATATTATAAGTGAATCATTCTTGTCTTCCCTGAAAAATTAGAATCAAAATGGATTTCGAGTAAAATTTATTAAGAAATACAGTTTTGCAATGATTTGTAACTAAAGTGGACGCATGTTTTGATGATTTGTTCTCTCAATTTTCATTGGCAGTATAGATATAATCCTTAACATTTGCTAGAAAATGAGCATGAAAAAATGTTACAATTAAGCTATTTAGTAGTTCAGCTTAAATAAATCTTGTTTCCGTTGTAAATGCAAAATGCATTGAGAAATATTGTAATGTTGCACGTTTGCTTCAGATCAATAAAATTAAACTGTCAAGATAACATACTTTATAGAAAAGGTTAATTAAGGACTGATCCTTCCGTTCGAAACACTGACTTATCCTATTGTTTTTGGATATTATCTCCCAACATGATGTTGTAGTTGGGGTTTTCTAACTCAAGCTCTTGTTATGAGTAAGTTTCTTATGATTCTTCATAATGGTAGGACGTTTTGGAGATTGTTAAATTAATGGATATAGTGCACCAACCGATTGTTCATACTAACTGATGCTATAGGGCCGAGTAATGACTACTCAGAATATTGACTGACAGGTAGTAAAAGAGGTTTTCTTTCGACGAAATAACATGCTTATATATTAAATATGAAACACAAGAATAAACCTGATTAGTGGTCGTTCAACAAATAAACGATAGCAGGATACGATAACCAATATTAATCCCAAACTGTCAATCAGGCTATCCCGTCATATCATAATGAAACATAACTTTATGACGGAAATACTTGTCCCATAAAACCATACCGTGTCAAGGAGGTCTGTTGCATAGGTGTCTAATCTGAATCGAAAAGTTTCAGGTTTGCAATTAATGTACTGTAATCCTTACCGACTTGAGATGTAAGTAAAATGTCCACATACCTAGTGAATTATTAGAAATGATAAAATATGTTAAAAATATATGTTTCTAGAAACTACGATTTGGTTATGGTATCGATTATGTAAGCCTTCAAATAGAATATATATATATTCCTTATATTCATACTAAAATTCTCTAATGTTAATTAAGACTGCAGGTTAAAATCTGGGTCAAATCCCCTATCACTTTAAAATTTTCGATTGATTCAATAGTTCACAATATACCTTGGTGATTGGTTGTTTATTAGTAGCCCAAGTTTATTGGTAGTCGGTATAGGGGGATGCAGGCTCAGTGGTCCAATAAGTTGTGTTCGCGCACGAGACTGAGGGCCCAGGGTTCGAATCCCGTGGGCGGGATCGTGGACACGCACCGCTGAGGAGTCCAAAAATAGGACGAAACGGCCACCCAGTGCTTCCAGGTTCTCAACGGTGGTCTAACATCAATCGGTTCATTGTCTCAATCAGAAATTTATTGGTTGTGTTTGTGACTATTTCTTATTCGATAATATAGGTGTGAATTATGCTACATTTGATTGTTTTGTGCATTAATGAATTTTATCTTGTTAGAAAATCAATCTAATCTATTTGTTAGTATTTCTCTTTTGATATAATTTGACCAATATTGGGACTGCGGTTCCATTGGCATTTATCAATCAAGTCACATCATTATGGAACTGATTGTTCAGCTCTTACTTTAGTATGTTGTTAACATATGTTATACTTTAACAGTTTTAGAAGTTTAGTGTATTGGAAGTTAGTCTAAATACATTAGAATCTATCTTGAAACACTTAATTCGAAGGCATTTAGTTCCAAAGCTTTTCATTCAATACGTGATACCGATTTTTGGTAATCGTCACACTTAAGATATTTTCAAATTTATTAAGATAAGGGATAGTTCTGTAGTGTTGGTTATTATGTTAAGCCCATATAGATAATTCTAGCTTTCGGACAGCCCATTCTATTCATTCTACTTGAGTCACATTTTGACCTTGTTAATTATTCGCTTATCAATCTTGACTGTCATTATATGAGCGCGTAGGTGTGTGTACATTTCCTATCCCATTACTAATCACATGTCTGTAACCTACTTTGTGTAACTAGAAGTATTGGTTAACTCTCGGTTAAATGAGAGTTGGCTTACCAGCCATCTCCACTCTGCATCGTCTCTCTTCTCTCCATTTCATTCGTTTTATATACAAAATATATGTATTCAAAAGTCCATTCTCGTTATTTGACTTTTTTAATTCCGTTGTTGACTAACGCGATTTAAGTCGATGATTATATACAAGGATAGGCGACATATATATTTCAAAAACACTCATCATTACGATCTACTTGGAGTCAGATCTCGGGCCACTAAAGTGGAGAGCCCTTTCGACAACATCGTCCGATCTAAAATAGGACAAAATTACGGGCCCCACTAAAGTTCACATTATAGTCCGAACGAACTACAATTGTTTTCCAATAACTTGGTTACATATCGAAGCACCTAAAGCCTATTATAGCAATGAGATTTCTAAGCATCTCGGTCGGCACTAAACTGAAGTCATTTGATACACAACCCTAGGCCGTTCTTACGTGTTTTACGTGTCACTGAATCAGTCGAATAATACGCTGCTCCATAATCTGCAGTCACACCCATTACAACATTATACCCAAATATATATATATATGTTTAAAGTGCCACTCACAATAAACATTTAAAAGGTGGTACAGCTCAGATATCACGATCTATCTCTTGAGCTATCATAAATTTACGAATAAACAACCGGTTTCTCTTAATTAAACGAAAATAGACATTAGAGACAAGGAAACCTCTCAACTACTGTATTGTCTGTCTAGCAAATGGGAACAACAACTTCTGATAGCAACAATCTTTCAATAGGAATGTATTAGATTTTGATAATTCATTGAATCATTGGTTCATACTCCTTTACGATAGTTTACATATACTTTTCACTTAAATTTTTTTTCCAATCATTGAGACTTACTTACGCCTGTTACTCCTCGTGAAGGAGCATAGGCCGCTCACCAGCGTTCTCCATCCAACCCTGTCCTGAGCAATCCTTTCTAGCTCCGTCCAGTTGTAATTCATCGTTTTCATATCTCCTTCTATTATCCGACGCAATGTGTTCTTTGGCCTTCCTCTTTTTCGCTTCCCTTCAGGATTCCAAGCTAGGGCTTGCCTCGTGAT